ACCGCTTTCATGTTTTCTTCCACCATCCCCCTCCTCCTCCTCCTCTTCCTCTTCATCACTGTCGAGCACCTGGGGTCTTGCGTCTCTGCGTTTCAACCTCACCGCGACCTCCTCCTGGTTTATGTCTGACGACCATGGAAATGTAAAAACACAATATATAATTATATAATTAATTAGTATCGTTAATATCAGGTGTTAATCGTTAAACTGACCAGGAATTCCGTTCGTTAGGGAAACGGAACTTTCTGCGTCGTTGGTCGAAGCTGCGTCGTCGGGACGTTTTCTTTTCAACTGTGTCAATAAATGAATGTTGGTGAGGATGATGATAAAGAGGTGACTCAAAAAGACGACAGGTTACCTTGAAGGACGGCAGGGATTTTCTCTTGCCCTGGCTGCAGGTGGCGCTGAGGGGAGTCGCTCGTCTTTGGTCCGGACCGCCTCCGTGTTTCAAAGAAGCTTGAATCTTACGAAAGCAACAAATTCTCATTAAGATAAATGTCATTTCGTCAAAACGTCCTCATCGGACAGAGGACGGTGGACAGTGGACAGCTCACCTTGGTCTTCCTCTCCTGACCGTCCCACCAGTCCTCAAAGGCCTTGAAGGACAACCCCTCCACCAGCCTGCGCGTGATGTCCTTCCTGATCACCGACTTCAGTTCGGTCACTACGACTTCTAAAACCTTTTCCAGCGTCACCTTATGAGGGTCTTCCTGCGCCGGAACCCTGACCGGTGGTGGTGGAGTCGCAAAGTGGGTGAAACCGGGGAAAGGAGGCGCGGGCCAAGGAGGAGGAGGACAGGGTGGGTGTGCGCCGCCGTGCCTCGGAGGATTCCTCTGATCCACATTTGTCGGAGGCGGTATATTCATGGGCACGGGAGGTAGGAGAGGAGGGGGCCCCATCAGAGGAGTAGAAGATCCGAAAAAAGTTGGTGGAGGAGGTATGGATGGATGGGGAGGTGGCGGGATCGGGGGAGGAGGAATGTGGATCCAGGGAGGGCCAATCCAGCCCGGCGGTGGGATCGAAATGGCGCCGTTTGGGAGACGAGGGGGAACGGGGAACGGAAAAGGTGGAATAACGTGAGGACGGGAGTTGACAGCGGGAAGAGTTTTGTCATCCCGGCGTTGGGAGGAGATGGGCGGAGGCTGGAGGAGGGACGTGGTGTCCTTGGTTGGCGTTGGAGCTCCGGTCACTCTGGTATCGGACTGTATGTGGAAAAAGACAGTGGTATAAAACTACGGTACCATCGTGGAGGGGTGTTCGATTCTGTCCATTAATAACTGTCACTAAAAAATTTCAAAATAAAACATCTTTTCAACTTTATTCTGGTAGCATACCCACGGACTGGTACTGGTCCACGGACCAAGGGTTGGGCACCCCTGCATTAAGGAATATTAAATAAAAACATTTAAACATGATTTAAAAAAAGACATACCTTTGGGTGAGGCAGTGACTGAGGCGGGAGGTCGGAGGAGGAGGAGGAGGGAGACCGGCAGTGTCTGGTGAGAAAGGCAACAGCTCGACTGGTTTCATCCTCCTTGCTGTCACTGACGGGGGCACTCACACGAGCCGAATGCCTGTCGTCGGCTGGGCACGGTCCATCGGCGGTCACGGCGCCCTCTACTGAATCCACGTGCGACGATGGGGAATTATGGCCGGAGCAGGGCGACGACGGGCTGTCCCTTAAAGTCTGTGTGTCAAACAGTGGGCCCGTGGTCCCCTGGCTGTTCAACAGCAGATTTTCAATACGGGAGTCAAGACTCTCCAGCCCTGGCCGACGGTTGCTGGAGGAGCTGTGGACGGCGGCAGCAGGAGGGGAGGAGGAGGAGGTGGTGTCCCTGGGTGAGGCCGGAGGCCGGACGCTGAGCTCGCTGTCGTCCTGGGTCTTGGAGGTAGAAGTGGTTCCGTCTCTGGATATGTCGCAGGTGGAGGTGCAGTCGAATGAAAATTTTGTGACATTGTGTGTTGAGTTCTCAGCACTGCGGCCCCACAGCGCCACCTGCTGGCTGTTTCCGTGCGTTTGTGAGGACAGAGGGTGAGGTAGCGGGGTGAGGCGGTGCCCTAAGATCGCCTTCACCCCTGACGCTCTGCCGGGTCTCTGCTTGTACCATGAAGGTGCGTGACGGCGGAGCTGTCGCATCAGACCTTTATAGACGGTCAGGACGGAGGGCTCCCCCTGGAGGACTGGAGTTGCCTGAAGACTAGAGTAGCAGGAGTCCTGGGAGAGAGGAGTGGCAGAGAGACAGGGTGTTCCCTGAGACTGCGGCGTCAGTCTGAGGCTACAGGGCGTGTCCTGCCAAATAGTGGAGTAGGCTGTATCCAAAGACAGGGGTGTAGCAGTGCTGGAGGGGTTGCAGATGGTGCCGGTCAGCTGAGGGTCTGCTCTGCCCTGAATGTAGGAGAACACAAAGAGAACACACCTGAGGAAAAAAGAACTTCTCGCCAGGGGCCTCTTAGCCTTCGTAGGGACCTAAAATAGTTGGTCATTGACGTCTGGGTTTTTAAACCCACCTACTGTACTGGAGTGGTGTCTGTGGAACAAGTTCTTCCCACGTTCTGTTCCAACACCTGAACGTCTCCTAGCCTACGTAGGGACCTGATGTCTGGATTTAATTGCGCGTCACAACCAACGTTTTAAGGGCGCATACTGCCACCTACTGCAGTGGAGGCTGTAGTGTCATGGTATGACCAGTGACTTTTTGTGTGTGCAATGTGCGATTAATTTTTAACTTTAACCGTTTTAACGATGCATCGCTACAGCCGTACTTCTCACCAAAAGCAAATTTAAAACAGCTTCGATTTGACGTCAACAACACGAAAAAAACATTGTGAATAAATGGCGCCGTTTGGGAGACGAGGGGGAACGGGGAACGGAAAAGGTGGAATAACGTGAGGACGGGAGTTGACAGCGGGAAGAGTTTTGTCATCCCGGCGTTGGGAGGAGATGGGCGGAGGCTGGAGGAGGGACGTGGTGTCCTTGGTTGGCGTTGGAGCTCCGGTCACTCTGGTATCGGACTGTATGTGGAAAAAGACAGTGGTATAAAACTACGGTACCATCGTGGAGGGGTGTTCGATTCTGTCCATTAATAACTGTCACTAAAAAATTTCAAAATAAAACATCTTTTCAACTTTATTCTGGTAGCATACCCACGGACTGGTACTGGTCCACGGACCAAGGGTTGGGCACCCCTGCATTAAGGAATATTAAATAAAAACATTTAAACATGATTTAAAAAAAGACATACCTTTGGGTGAGGCAGTGACTGAGGCGGGAGGTCGGAGGAGGAGGAGGAGGGAGACCGGCAGTGTCTGGTGAGAAAGGCAACAGCTCGACTGGTTTCATCCTCCTTGCTGTCACTGACGGGGGCACTCACACGAGCCGAATGCCTGTCGTCGGCTGGGCACGGTCCATCGGCGGTCACGGCGCCCTCTACTGAATCCACGTGCGACGATGGGGAATTATGGCCGGAGCAGGGCGACGACGGGCTGTCCCTTAAAGTCTGTGTGTCAAACAGTGGGCCCGTGGTCCCCTGGCTGTTCAACAGCAGATTTTCAATACGGGAGTCAAGACTCTCCAGCCCTGGCCGACGGTTGCTGGAGGAGCTGTGGACGGCGGCAGCAGGAGGGGAGGAGGAGGAGGTGGTGTCCCTGGGTGAGGCCGGAGGCCGGACGCTGAGCTCGCTGTCGTCCTGGGTCTTGGAGGTAGAAGTGGTTCCGTCTCTGGATATGTCGCAGGTGGAGGTGCAGTCGAATGAAAATTTTGTGACATTGTGTGTTGAGTTCTCAGCACTGCGGCCCCACAGCGCCACCTGCTGGCTGTTTCCGTGCGTTTGTGAGGACAGAGGGTGAGGTAGCGGGGTGAGGCGGTGCCCTAAGATCGCCTTCACCCCTGACGCTCTGCCGGGTCTCTGCTTGTACCATGAAGGTGCGTGACGGCGGAGCTGTCGCATCAGACCTTTATAGACGGTCAGGACGGAGGGCTCCCCCTGGAGGACTGGAGTTGCCTGAAGACTAGAGTAGCAGGAGTCCTGGGAGAGAGGAGTGGCAGAGAGACAGGGTGTTCCCTGAGACTGCGGCGTCAGTCTGAGGCTACAGGGCGTGTCCTGCCAAATAGTGGAGTAGGCTGTATCCAAAGACAGGGGTGTAGCAGTGCTGGAGGGGTTGCAGATGGTGCCGGTCAGCTGAGGGTCTGCTCTGCCCTGAATGTAGGAGAACACAAAGAGAACACACCTGAGGAAAAAAGAACTTCTCGCCAGGGGCCTCTTAGCCTTCGTAGGGACCTAAAATAGTTGGTCATTGACGTCTGGGTTTTTAAACCCACCTACTGTACTGGAGTGGTGTCTGTGGAACAAGTTCTTCCCACGTTCTGTTCCAACACCTGAACGTCTCCTAGCCTACGTAGGGACCTGATGTCTGGATTTAATTGCGCGTCACAACCAACGTTTTAAGGGCGCATACTGCCACCTACTGCAGTGGAGGCTGTAGTGTCATGGTATGACCAGTGACTTTTTGTGTGTGCAATGTGCGATTAATTTTTAACTTTAACCGTTTTAACGATGCATCGCTACAGCCGTACTTCTCACCAAAAGCAAATTTAAAACAGCTTCGATTTGACGTCAACAACACGAAAAAAACATTGTGAATGGATGTAGACAACGTACCTGCCAAACGTCAACTGAACTTTGCAGATCCTGCTCACTGCTGCCCACGGGCAGCGTCCCAGGAGTGTAATGTCCACGCAGGAGAAGCTGGAGATACTGGTCTCTGTTTTCCCCTGAGTGAGGAAGGAGACGTAAAACGTAAAACGATTGGCCACGTGTGATGAAGTCATCAAATATCACTTATACGGTATCACTCAGCCCTACCTTTGGGATCGACCTCCACATGGATGATGTTCCCCATGACTGACGTCTGGTGGAGGTTCTGGACGGCGTCCCTCGCGGCCCGCACGCCATCGAACACAACCCTGGCGATACCTAAATGTTTCCTGTTTTTGGGATTGTAGAATATTTCCACCTCTTGAATGTTCCCATATTTTTGGCACATTTGCGTCAGGAAGGGCTCGTTCACGTTGTCGTTCAACCTGGAGAACGTCACTTCTCTGGGAGGAACGGGTCCAACGTAGAATTCGTCGATCTGGGAAAAATTCACCATCAAAAACTTAAGACGCAGATCTATTACAAATGTTACAGTAAATGTAATTACTAAAATGTGTATTATACATACATACATATATACGTATATACACATGTATATACACATACACACATATACATATACACATATATATGTATATATATATGTATACATATATAATAAACGCAGATCTCTTACAAATGTTACGGTAAATGCAATTACTAAAATGTGTATGTATACATACATACATATACACATACATACATATATACGTATATACACATAAATACATAAACGTATATACACATGTATATACACACACATATATACATATATAAACGTATATACACATACTTTTTTTCTCGTGTGCTCTCGAAGAAGGCGGACACTTTTTCCCTTGCTCCCTTCCTGCCCTTATCTGCCCTGCTACTGCTCTATGTCTTGTACCGTCTCTGTCAAACTATCTCGGAGCCTCTCTCTGCATTTTCCTCCAAAATCAAA